GACCCGTCCGTTAGGGTCATCCCGACCCGACCCGAACCGCCCGTCAGGGTCCGCCCGCCCGACCCGACCCGCCCGTTAGGGTTCACGCGTGCTCGCTCGGGTATGCCCCACACTTGAAGGGTCCGCCCACACGACCCGACCCGCCCGTTCGGCTTCTTCCGCCCGGCCCGACCCGCCCGTTGGAGTTCGCGCGTGTTGGGATCCGCCCGCCCGACCCGACCCGACCGTTAGGGTTCACGCGTGCTCGCTCGTGTATGCCCCACACTTGAAGGGTCCGCCCACACGACCCGACCCGCCCGTCAGCCAGCGTCCGCCCGCCCGACCCGACCCGCCCGTCAGGGTTCACGCGTGTTGGATTGTGCGTACCCCGCACTTTAAAATGTCCAGCCCGCCCGACCCGACCCGTCCGTTAGGGCCCGCCCGCCCGACCCGACCAGCCCGTTAAGGTTCACGCGTGCTCGATCGTGTATGCCTCGCACTGTAATGTCCCGCCCGCCCGACCTGACCCGCCCGCCAGGGTCTGCCCGCCCGACCCGACCCGCCCATTAGGATCCGCCCGCCCGACCCGACTCGCCGTTAGGGTTCACGCGTGCTCGCTCGTGTGTGCCCCACGCTTTCCTGGTCCGCCCGACCGACCCGGCCCGCCCGCCCGACCCGACCCGCCCGTTAGGGTCCGCCCGCCCGACCCGACCCCTCCGTTAGGGTTCACGCGTGCTCGCTCGTGTATGCCCCACACTTTAATGTCCCGCCCGCCCGACCCGACCCACCCGTTCGGGTCCGCCCGCCCGGTCCGACCCGCCCGTCAGGGTTCACGCATGCTCGCTCGTGTGTGCCCTGCGCTTGGAAGGGTCCGCCTGCTCGACCCTCCCGTAAGGGTCCGCCCGTCCGACCCGACCCGCCCGTTAGGGTTCTCCCTAGGCCTGCCTTAGGCCTACCCTTAGGCTTTCCCCAAGGCCTACCCTTCCCCCCTGAGCCCAGGCCCTACGCGTACGTCAAGCTTGTCCGTGCGGTCTGGGGTAGGCCCTTCCCAAGGCTACCCTAGGGCCTTGGGTAGGCCCTACCCTAGGCTACCCTAGGGCCGTGGGTAGGCCCTACCCTAGGCTAAGCCCCTGGGTAGGCCCTACTCTAGACTACCCTAGGGCCTTGGGTATGCCCCAGGGTAGCCTTCCCCCCGGGTTCTACCTTCCTGTGTATTCGCTCCAATGCGTAGATGATGCGTAGACAGTTTGCTCGACGGGGCCTCGCAATATTTCCCAACCGTCTTGTGGTCTTGGGTCCTTGTTTTGAAGCGACGGTCGCCGCGCCTCCTCCTCCTCCTCCTTCTCCTCCTCCTCCTCCTCCTCCTCCTCCTCCTCCTCCTCCTCCTCCTCTCCCTATTCCTTCCTCCCTGCGTTCCCCCAAGCCAGCACAGCGCTTCGTGACCCCAAAGGGGGCGCCACCAAAGGCCCCAGTGGCTGCGCTCGCATGACACCGCCGCACCAAATTCGGCACACCCCTCACGCGTTTCGTGGCCCCGTAGAGAGCTCCACCGAGTGCCCCAGTGGCTGCGCTCGCATGACACCGCCGCACCCATATCGGCACACGCCTCACACGTTTTGTGGCCTCATGGGGAGCTCCACCGAAAGTCCCAGCGGTAGGGTTCGCATGACGCCACAGCGCCGATTTCGGCACACCCCTCACGCGTTTCGTGGCCCCGTAGAGAGCTCCACCGAGTGCCCCAGTGGCTGCGCTCGCATGACACCGCCGCACCCATATCGGCACACGCCTCACACGTTTTGTGGCCTCATGGGGAGCTCCACCGAAAGTCCCAGCGGTAGGGTTCGCATGACGCCACAGCGCCGATTTCGGCACACCCCTCACGCGTTTCGTGGCCCCGTAGAGAGCTCCACCGAGTGCCCCAGTGGCTGCGCTCGCATGACACCGCCGCACCCATATCGGCACACGCCTCACACGTTTTGTGGCCTCATGGGGAGCCCCATCGAAGGCCCCAGTGACTGCGCTCGCATGGCGCCACCGCACCCATGTCGGCACGCCCCCCATACGTTTTGTGGACCCACCTGGATCTGCACCGGAGGCCACAGTGGCTGCCCTCGCATGACACCACCGCACCAATTTCGGCACCCCTCGCGCGCTTCGTGGCCCCATGGGGAGCTCCACCGAAGGCCCCAGTGGCTGCGCTGGCATGACACCACCGCGCCCATGTTGGCACACCCCTCGCACGTTTCGTGCCCCATAAAGGAGCTCCACCGAAGACGATTTCAGCAATTGCGTTATTCGCAACTGCGCACGATTGGGGCGTTCGCCAGGACAATGTGCTTAGTATTCGCGCCGCGCCCCTGCAGCCGCAGTTCCAGCATTCGTGCGTTGCTTTTTTGACGTTTCGACGGTTCCCTAGACCGTGTTGTGTCCGACGAAACCAAAAAACAGGACCCTCCCGTCCCAGAGCTCCGACCCCCCCCAGAAGAACAAATGACAGCGCAGGGTTTGGGGCCCCTTGACGTCGCAAACCAAGTTTTTTCATTCTGTGTTGTTTTGTACTTTTGGGGTGGACATTTTTGCGACCTTTTTGTGTTCCTTTGGATTTTTTAGTCCCAACCATCCTGTGGTGTGGGGTCCTCGTTTTGAACAGGCAGCGCCCCGTGTTCCTCTCGCCTCCTCCTCCCCTCCTCCCTCCTTCCATCCTCCCCCTCCGCCTCTCCTCCCCCGCTTAGGCTCACCCCTCGCACGCTTCCTGCTCCCATCGGGAGATCCACCGCAGGCCCAGCTGCCAGCGCTCGCATGCGCCCACCGCGCCCGATTTGGCACACCTTATCACACATTTTGTAGCCCCATAGGGAGCTCCACCGAAGGCCCAGATGCCGGCGCTCGCACGCGGTCCCCGCATTCATTTTGGCGCACCCTTTACATTCTTCGTAGCCCCTAAGGGAGCTCAACCACAGGCCCAGATGCCAGCGCTCGCATGCGCCCACCGCGCCCCGTCTGACACACTTTTCACACGCTTTGTGGCCCCATAGGTAGCTCCCCCGAAGACCCAGATGCCAGCGCTCGCATGCGCCCACCGCGCCCTTTTTGGGACAACCCCTCACACGCTTCGTGGCCCCATAGAGAGCCCACCGAGGACCGGCATGCCAACGCTCGCACGTGTTGTGGCCCCATAAGGAGATCCACCGCAGGCCCAGATGCCAGCGCTCGCATGCGCTCACCGCGCCCAATGTGCCACACCTTTTCATACATTGTGTAGCCCCGTAGGGAGCTCCACCGAAGGCCCAGATGCCAGCGTTCGCATGCGCCCACCGCAGCCTTTTTGGCACACCCTTCACACGCTTTGTGGCCCCATGGGGAGCTCAACCACAGGCCCGTACGCCAGCGCTCGCGTGCGCCCACCGCGTCCCTTCTGCTTCCTTTTACACGCTTTGTGGCCCCATAGGGAGCTCAACCGAAGGCACACATGCCAGCGTTCGCACGCGCCCACCGCGCCGATGTTGGGACACCCCTCACACGTTTGGTGGCCCCATAAGGAACTCCGCCGAAGGCGCACGTGCCAGCGCTCGCATTCGCCAGCCGCACCCATTCGGGCACATCCTTCACATTTTTCGTGGCCCCAGACGGAGCTCCACTGGATGCGGCGCGTACAACGGCAGTGTCCACAATTGTAGATGGTTGGGTCTTCGCCATGCTATGTTGTCATCGGTATCCCGTTTGCAACCGAAATATCAACCCAAGAGGCTCCCAGGAACCCGAACCCCACGAATCGCACACATCCATATGAAAACGCATGGTTTCTGGGGCTCCCATGTCAGAAATTTGTGAAACTCCAAATGACAGCGCAGGGTTTGGGCCCCCATGACGCCGCAAGCCTCGCTTTTTCATTTGGATGGTTTGGATTCGGCGAGCCAGGGAGCTCCTGGGCGGAATTTGCTGGCGGGTAAAAACCCAACGCATCGAACGCATCCAAATGAACTCATAAGGTTTCTGGGATGCCCACACCAGAAAATCCCAAACATCCAAATGAAATGGTAGGTTTGGTGATTCCGTCGTGCGTGCGGAACGGTCCTTGTTAGTTTTGGTCTTCTTGTGTGGAGGATTGCGGCCTTGCCGGCGTTGGTTTTCATTGCGTGGGGTTGAGAAACATGGCCCCAGTCGCCAGGGGAGTGCTAAGCGAGAGAGAGAGAGAGGACAGAACGGGGGACGTAGGGCAACGAGGCACAGAGCACGATGGGGAACGAAGGAGGAAAGAACGGAAACGGACAGACGAAAAACGTTACTTCTTTTTGCGAAGGACCCAACCATACGCAATTGTGAATATCGTGTTGTGGGTACCCTTTCAAGTGGAGCTCCCTCTGGGGCCACGACCCGCGTGAGGGTTGTGCCAAAATGGGGCGGCGGTGTAATGCGGACCCTCCCGCTGGGGCCTTCAGTGGAGCTCCCTATGGGGCCACGACCCGTGTGCGGGGTGTGCCAAAATGAGGTGGCAGTGCCATGCGGACGCTCCCGCTGGGACCTTCGGTGGGGCTCCCAATGGGGCCGCGGACCGTGTGAGGGGTGTGCCAAAATGGGGCGGCGGTGCCCTGACCAGGCTAAGTTCCACTCCCAGCCCTTCCTCGCACTTATCGCAATGACCGCTGCAAGCGCTGTAGCTGAAATTTCGCTCAGTGCCGCCCTTCGAAGTGAACTACTCCCAGCGTTGTAAGTAGCTGATGTATCGCTCACTGCCTGCTTTCTCGCATGAGCTGCTCCCAGCGTTGTACCCGATACGTCGCAGGAGGAGGAGGGGGGCGAGGAGGAGGACGAGCAGGAGGAGGACGAGTAGGAGGAGGAGGAGGAGGAGGAGGAGGAGGAGGAGGAGGAGGAGGAGAAGGAGGAAGAGGGGGAGGAGGAGGAGGCGGAGGAGGAGGAGGAGGACGACGATGAGGAGGAGGAGGGGGAGGAGGAGCAGTGAAGAGGAGGAGGGCGGCGGCGACGAGGACGAGGGCGAGGAGGAAGAGCGCCCCCCCAGCGAGGCCTGCCAGTATCTGATGTTCCTGTCGCCCCCGGAGACCTTCTTGGGGGCTGCTGAGGGTGCCCCTGGCCCAAGGTGCCCGCCTGCGTGTCGCTCCGTTTGGGAGCCCTGGGCCTCCTGGGGCCTCGCGAGGGGTACAACCAACCCGCACAGGAAGGATGACTACCTTTCCAAGGTTGCCCTCGCGTCTTGCCCCTTCGGCCCATCCCTGGCAACGCTCCCGCTCGCCAGCCCCTCAGGTTGCCCCTGGGGCGGGCCTCCCAAGGCCCTTTCGCCCTTACAGCCTTTCCTTATCGTGCCGGTTGACTGTACTCAAGCGGCCGCGTGGGCCTTCCTGGACGTCCTGGGGGCACCTTTTGGGCCAGGGGCACCTCTAGCAGCACCCGGCCTTCTCCCACAAGGGCCACCTCTGCATGGTCTTCGCGCTGCAGAAGCGCGCCGCGCCCCCCTGCATCGAGATCGTTCAACCGACACCAATCCCCATGCTCATCCCCTTCGAGACCCCCACCAATTTACCACCCCAGTTGGGGATACACCCCCCGAAACCCGAAGGGAACGGCCTATATCCCCGTCGAGGGGGCTAAATTGGCCAGTGGGGCCCAGGCCACGCCGCTGGGGATGGGGATCGGTTGAACGATACTCGCCGCACGCTCTCCCCTCCGCCGCGCGGAAGAGCACGCGCCGCAGGCCCGGCGGCGGAGAGCGGCGGGCGTCGTTTGCTGTTCGCCCTTCGGGCAGGAGGAGGAGGAGGTTCGAGGATGAGGTTCGAGCAGGGAGGCGGAGGAGGAAGGAGGAGGAGGTTCAGGCAGGAGGAGGAGAAGGAGGAGGAGGAGGAGGAGGAGGAGGTTCGAGGAGGAGGAAGAGGAGGAGGTTTGAGGAGGAGGAGGAAGAGGAGGAGGAGGAGGGGGGGAGGTTTGAGGAGGTGGATGCGAAGGAGGAGGAGGAGGAGGGTGAGGAGGAGGAGGAGGAGGGAGGAGGAGGAGGAGGAGGAGGAGGAGGAGGAGAGGAGGAGGAGGAGGAGGAGGAGGTGGTGATGGTGGAACTCCCTGGCGACCAAGGTCGAATGGTCGTAGGAGATGACTGGGGTTACCCCCTCATTCTCGCCTCGGCACCCCACAACTGGAGGGCGCCAGCGACAGTGCCACTGGGGACTCGCGAAGCCGAGCTGCGGCGAGGTTCGAGACATTGACATTCGAGGGTGCGTTTTCCCTCGCGTCGTCACCACGACGGGAGTCATTTTTATAATTTTCCGCCTCTCGAGGGCCCTGCTGGGCCCTGGGGCCGTAAGGGACGAGCCTGGAGCCCTGGGTCATGCCCCAGGGAATCGGTCGGGACCTCTTCGCTTCGACGCTGCTTTGTAAACAGATCATTACGTCGGGGGGTCTGGCTTGGGTCTCGTTCGCCAACCGACGGGTTGGGATTGCTAGATGTCAAGGGAAGAGCTCCCGACCCGCCTCGCACACCCTGCACACAGCGGGGGACCATGCCATGAAAAACCCTGCTTGCCTCCAGGGTGCCCTGGGTGTCTTGGGTTAGAATAGTTTTGCGACGGAAGGCGCGGCGTTTCTATACCAAAGCTCAATGGCCGTCCTGGGGTCTCAGGGTTGGGGTCTTGTGGACTGGCCTCCACGGTGCCGCGGCCGCCAACGTCCAATATGTGTTTGTGTTCCCTGAGTATCCCGATTCGTGCTTCCGACGAGTGACGAGTGCATGCCGCGGCCGCCAGGCCCAACGACGGGTGCGGGTGATGCTCGGGATCCTGCCTCCCGTTTTCGGGTGGGGATCGCTCGAAGCAAATTTGCCTGGCGAAGGACCCAACCATACGCAGTTGTGAATACCGCAATTGTGCATACCATCTTTGCCCGCGCTCCCTATGTGGCCACGGCTTCCCGCAGGAGCCCGACATGCTCAGGAGCACGTTCGTGGCCGTCTTCGCGCCGGCGACGACAAGGACGGCGTCCCTCTGACCGAGGGGCAAAAGCAGGCGAGGTCCTTGAGAGCCATGAGGGAGGAGGTGGCGTTGCACGTCGACAAGGCGGAGTACGATGTCCAGGCGCGGTTGTTGACGCAGCACAACTATGGGGCCACGATCTTCGCGAGGGGGTGCCGAAATGGCCCGGGGCCGCCACGCGAACCCTGCCAGTGGCGCATTCGGTGGAGCTCCAGTGGGGCCACGATCCTCGTGAAGGGGCGTGCCGAAATTTCCCGAAGCCGCCATGCGGACCCTGCCACGGGGGCTTTCGGTGGAGCTCCTGTGGGGCCACGATTTTCGCGAGGGGTGTACCGGAATGGCCCGAGGCCGCCATGCGAACCCTGCCACTGGGGCCTTCGGTGGAGCTCCCTCTGGGGCAGCGTCCCTCGTGGGAGGTGTGCCGACATGGCCCGAGGCCGCCACGCGAACCCTGCCAGTGGCGCCTGTCATGGCCCTCGTGAGGGGCGCGCCGAAATGGCCCGAAGCTGCCGCGCGAACCCTGCCGCTGAGGCCATCGATGGAGCTCCTTACGGGGCAGCGATCCTCTTGAAGGGTGTGCCGAAATGGCCCGAGGCCGCCGTGCGAACCCTGCCAGTGGGGGCCTTCGGTGGAGCTCCGTATGGCCCGAGGCCGCCACGCGAACCCTGCCGCTGGCGCCTTCGGTGAAGCTCCCTATGGGCCCACGATCTTCGTGAGAGGTGTGCCGACATGGCCCGAGGCCGCCACGCAAACCCTGCCGGTGGCGCTTTCGGTGGAGCTCCCTATGGGGCCATCATACTCGTGAGGGGTGATCCGAAATGGCCCGAGGCCGCCATGCGAACCCTGCCACTGGGACCTTCGATGGAGCTCCCTATGGGGCCACGATCTTCGTGAGAGGTGTGCCGAAATGGCCCGAGGCCGCCATGCGGACCCTGCCATTGGAGTCATCTGTGGAGTTCCCTATGGGGCCACGATCCTCGTGATGGGTGTGCCGAAATGGCCCGTGGCCGCCATGCGAACCCTGGGGCCTTCGGTGGAGGTCTCTATGGGGCCACGAAGCGTTGTACGTATTGGGCGGCTGAAGCGCAGGGAGGAGGGAGGAGGAGGAGGTGGGGGATGAGGCGGGAAGGAAGGATGCGGGGCGCTGTCTCTTCAAAACGATGACCCAACACCACAGGATGGTTGGGAAATAGATTGGATCTCCTCAGGAGATCGTCACTTAAAGTGATTATGCGATACACAGAAGAGTGGCGCACCCACGCGGCGGGTGGCGGAGCTTGGTCTACCTCTGGGGTGGTCCGCCGTGTTCTGGGAAGCAAGGAGAGGAGGGGGGAGGAGGGGAGGAATGTTGAAATGGACGGAGTAATGGGGCAAAAGTACGGATTCGGTGGAGGTGGACGGGCGACGAGGAGGAATAATTGGTTGGGTGAGGAGGCATCGGTGTAGAAAGCAGAGAGCCAATGTGGAGGAGGAACACGGGTATGAGTAAGATGACGCACCAGGAAAGCGAACGACTAGGATGGGAAGGAGGAAGACGGGCCTGGATGTGGTGACTCATTTTCTCACCAGGTTATATACTTTCCTTTTTGGGGCCCCCCACCCCGCAGGGTTCGGATCCTTGCTCAGCGTGAAGTCGAGCTCTTCCTTTGCAAACCTCGTCGGATCGCGCGCGCTCGAATACCCTGCCCTGCTTATTCTAAGTCTCGCGGCCAGGCGCGCTCCCTCGAATGCCCTCCAGTGTTCTTACAAGCCGGGCGCGCCCCCCCCCCCGCAGACCTTTTCCCCCCCCCCCCCCCCCTCTCTTCATGTGCTGGCCCTTTCCCCTGCCTCTTCCCCCCTTTAGCCTAAGCCCCTCCGCCCCCCCTCCCCTCTCTGTCCCCCCCCCCTGCCAGGGACGGGAAGGGAGCACAACACCGGGGCCCCGCCAAGCCTGATCTCATCCCCTCCTTTCGCCAGGTGCCGCACCCACCTGCGCAGGCGTTTTGTATCGTTCAAGCGCACGGTATCGGCAGACGCTTGCTGCACGTGAAGCATGCTGCTCTGCTCGGGGGATGTGCAAGTTTGGCGCGTCAGGCTTCGGCATCAGAGAGTTCTCGGCACTCCTGCTCGTGCTGATCGCAATCTGCCTTCTTGGACTTTATCCAGGTGCGCTGTCGCGCAGATCCGCCAGTTGGCCTGGCCTGGAAGGGTAGCCATGGTACCCAGCTTTGCCACCTGGGGGTAGGGTTACATGATTTGGCATTGTCCAGCAGCTAGTCACGCATGCAGGGGCCTGGATGCGTGCCCAGACCTCGAACGCTTTTCAAAACGCAGACCACACAGGTATCGACCCCTCCCTGGAGACAGTTGCCATCACGGGCGCGCCCGCAAACGACCCCTCAGGGTGAAATCAGTGACGGAGGCTGGGATTGACACAAAAGCGATGCCCCAGAGGTCTCTGTGCGTGCGGAAGGTCGGAGGTTCGCTGATTTAGTTCGCTGGAGAATTCGAGAAACTTCCGTCCGTTGAGTCGGGCGTGTGCCTGTGTGCAAGGTAGGTTTTAGCAAGGAGCGTGAGAGACAGGGTGTCCGCCAGTGAGTTCGGTTGTCGCGTCGTTGCTGTGTCCCCCGTCTAGGCTGCCTGCTGGCTTGTGGCTGTGAATGGCCTCGGGCAATGCGGAGGGGGAAGATGACATGGGTAAAGAGGATCAGGAAGAGGACGAGGAGAGTTTTGATGATAAGGGGGGGACTGTAGCCTCCCACACGAGTTAGTTCTGAACGGCCCGTCGTTCGCCCTGCCCCCAAGGCCCGCACTCCAAACATGACTCTTCCCTCCAGCCCGGTTCCAAGCCAGATCCTTCCAATACATCATGCCCAAAGCGCCGCAGAGAGCGGTGGTGAGCCCAGGATATGCTGCGGCTGCGGCGGCGGATCATTCGGCGATCGACATACAGGCAGGCGGCGACATCGTTATAGATTTAGATTATCCGGTCGGTGACAATGGATCCATCGTTGTATTTTTTCAGTTGGAGGACGACTCGAAGTGGGAGATTCTGCACGAGTGTTTCACGCACGTCGCAGCTGCGACCTTCTCGATCGGTCTGCCGCTGGCCCTGCATGTTATTTTTGCGGAGGCATCGTCGCCAAACAAATCCCGAAGAGATGCGATTGAGAGCAGCATCTGGGAAGTCGATGGAGCCTTCACGCTGTTCGTTCAGACCTCACACGTCGACCTCCGCGAGCCCGCGCTGATCCTTGATCAGCTGGAGCTGACCGGAAGGAAGGTGAGCGTTTTTGTTTCCTTCCCAGTGTAGTGCTCGTTGTTCGGGCCAAGCCCCCTCTCTTTCCCCGTGTCACGTGAACGATCGTACTGATCCGGCCCCCCTCCTCATGCTGTGGTGCGCACAGGCGATCGATGCGCCATTGGTGCGGACGCACCCCGGCGGGTGCACGCCGCGGCCGCCGTTACCACTACCCTCCCGCCCGAATTCCCCAATTCCCCCCCCCCTCCCCGGGTCACGCCAGCTACCCGCCCGCCCGAACCCCCCCACCCCCTCCGACCGCGACTTGAAGAAGGAACAGAAACTGTTACAAGCGGCTGTCCTACCCCGAATCCCCCCCCCGAGTAACGACCGCGACTTGAAGAAGGAACACAAACTGCCACGAGCGGCTGTCCTACGAGCTGGCGCTGGTCATGGGCAGCACGGCGAGCGCCGAGCTCCTCAGCCGCGGGGCGCAGGCGCTGTGCGGGACCTCTCCCCAGGCGGGCGATGGCCCCGGGGGGCCGGGCCAACACGCTGCGGCCGGCCCGCGGTGCTGTCCGGGCCCTTTGTCTGCGCGGCGAGCCACAGGGGAGCTCCTCTTCGTCTGCGTCTGTCAAAACCCAGTCGGGGGTGGACAGACCTCCTACCCTGAGACGTCGATCAAGGAATTGGCCGTTCTTGGTTTGCGAGAGGGCCTCGCGGCCGTCATTTTTGCGGGTCCAGGTCCGTCGGTTTCGGTCCCAGGCCGTTTTCACAAAGGGGAGGTCTACTAAAGGGAGGTTTGTCCACCGCCGACCCAGACATGATCGCGTCGTAAAACAATTCGGGACGGAGGTGTGTCGCCGCTCTCGGCCTCTATAGAGGCCCTGGCCGGGCCCCGGGACCGTCCTGAAAATGGATCAGGATGAAACACCGGTCCGCCGGGGGAAAGGTTGGGGTTTCCAGGGGGCGCCGTCCCGAAAAAATCAGGACGTCACATATTTGGGAAGGTTTTGGCTTGGAGTGTTCCCGGGTCTCTGGGCCGGTGCCGGGGGGCATCGTGGCGATAAGAACGGATGCCGCCCGAGGGGCCCGCGCGTCGAGGCATTGGTAGCCTGCTGAGGTGGTTCGGCCCGTTTCGGGACGACCAGATTGACATGGTCGCAAGTCTGCGTTTGGAGACGACCAGATTTGGCATGGTCCAGCTCGTTTCGCCTGAAGCATCCTCACTGTTCTGGGCTCCCAGACACTACGCGATAGGTGGTCTGGTCCAGATCGTTTGGAACATCCTTGATCTTTTTGGATTCGGGGATCACGTGACCTGAGGTTACCTGATCCATTTCGCTTGAGGCATCGTCGCTACGTTAGACTTTAAGCTGCAGCCGCGAGGTGATCTGGTCAGTTTGGCCGGAGACGTCCCCGCAATTCTGGGCAAAGAGATGCCGCGTGCGAGGGTCGGGCCGAACGAAAGGGGGGGGATAGGGAAAGGGGGGGTACGAAATCTGCTGCGTGCAGCTGGTTTCCGCCCCGCCGCCTGGCCCATTCCTCGATACATGGGCGCCTCCCAGCGCTGGGAGGCGCCGGGAAAATCAGCTACGCGAGCTGATTCTCAAACCCCTCCTTGCTATTCCCCCCTTTCGCCCACCCCGAGAGGGGGTCCAGTCAGCTTCGCATGAGACGTCCCTGCAATTCCGAGCCATCGTTGATGAGTGCGACGCAATCAAGGAATGTGAGGAGGAGGAGGCGCAGGATGACTGAAGACGTGGTGGAGGAAGGGTAATGCTCGTATTGCTGTCAGGCAAGTACTCTCGTTTTCAATGCTCTCGGGATACTTCTCGTTTTCAATGCTTTCAGGGCTCGACGCGGCTTGATCGTGTCTGGTGATGCGGGCTGGTGCTTGCCGACGTATGACGTGTCACCGGCCCCGTACGCGACCAAATTGTTGGGATGTCTCGAACGGTCCGCTTGTTTTACGGGGTGGAAGTGTGTTCGGGGAGCCGTATTGTCGTCGCTGACCATTTCGGTTGGCTTCGGGGTTCTCTTGGGCCCCATCCAGGGCTTGCCTTGGCGGGCGGGGGGGGGCAGTGCACTTGAGCCCGGGTGCCCGGGTCGCCCAGGACCTCGGCAACCCCAACGGCGAGCCAGGGAGATGCTGGGGAGGTGTTGCCCTCAAAATAGCCAGGTGCGCGCCATGGTCCACAGAGAGCCATCCTCGGAAATTCGGGCTCTGAAGTGCCCTGACTTGATGTGATCTGGCACGTTTCGCTTAAGACGTCCTCACAACTCTGAATTCCAAGATGTGGTTTGAGAGGTACCGGCGGCCGTTTTGCCCGAGGCATCCTCTGAACCCCAGGCTTCGAGATGCCCTGAATTTAGGCGTTCTGGCCCTTTCGCTTGAGACGTCCTGACAACTCTGGGTTCACAGATGTTGTTCGCGAGGTACTTCGGTACGTTTCGCCTCAGACATCCTCTGGATCCCCAGCTGGCCGTTTGGCCTGAGTTGTTCTCGCAACTCTGGGATGAAGATGGCGGTTGACGAGGTGCTCAAGCCCGTTTCCTTGAAGATGGCGGTTGATCGAGACATCCTCATCACGTTGTTCGCCTGAGACATCTTCGGAACCCCAGTGTTTGTGAAAAAGAGTTGTGGGTGGAAAAATATGATATCCGCCTGGGCCCCCGTCAGACGAGCGGAAATGCGAGCGCAGTGGCGCGCGCGGTCGCGAGCGACCCGCCGCTCGTAATATCGTGAATGCGCGGGCGTCGCGGCGACGACTACGGCGTCGGCGACGACGACGGCGGCGCCTGCGCCGACGGTGACGATGACGGCTGCAACGGCGACGGCGGTGACGACGAACATCGCGGAGACGGCGGCGACGGGGCCCTGGCCCACGGGCGAATTTGTGCCCCGCGCTTGTTCCCGGAGTCCCGCGCCAGATTTTATGGGAGGATCGCAATTTCCGCGCGCAGTTTTACCCCAGCCTTCCCTCCCTCCGCTTTGCTAGAGCTCCTCCGCGCATTCGTAACAGCTTTTTCTCCCGAGTGCATTGACGGGCGCGCCTTTACTGAAGCCGTTTCCACTTCCTCGCTGTAGCGAAGCCGATTCCACGCTTTAGTAAGTCCACGGCCTGCTTTAGTGGAGCCCTGGGAGTAGCTATGGTGATGCGGGTCAGGGCCCGGTTGAGGGGCGGGGGGCCTTCGTCTTCCCTGCCAGTTCACCCCGCGATGCAATTGCTCGAGTAAGCTGGGTCGCGTGGCATCGGGTCGCGGCGATCCCTGGACATGTTTTCAGCGAGTTGTAGACGCTCCGTGACAGGAGATGCAGGGCGCGAGCGCACGACGCGGCTCGGCAATTCGGACGCGTCGCCGCGTCTGTCGCGCAACAGAGCAACATAGTGTTACTAAACTGTTTGTTTCCTATAGCAACCCGTCCATTCAAACTAATAGTGTGAAGCTTCCGCTTCCAATGTTTCCAACTGCTTTGGTATTGCTCCTCTTTGCTTCGTTCGCTTTGTTTGCGACGGGTTGTGTTATTTTTAGTGCTCTGCCTGTTGTTTTCTTTTTCTGCACCCGAAATGTTCCCCTTGCTGCCCCTTTTGCTGTTCCCCTGGTTGTTCCTCCTGCGGGTCCTTGTGAAGTTTCCTTCCAAACATGCGCTCTTGATTATCCTCCCCTTGCTGCTCATATTGCTGCAGTTTCTCCTGCTGCCTGTGTCCAGCAGCAAACACCGCCAGGGTTACTTTTGCGTTTGCCAGTGGTACGATTACAGCTGCTGCTCGTGTGTGTGAAGATTGGCATTACTTGCATGACGTAACGCTTCTACCACCACTACCACTAATGTTACTCGTCCTCCTCCTCCTCCTACTACTACGACTACTACTACTACTACTACTACTACTACTACTACTACTACTACTACTACTACTACTACGACTACGACTACGGCTACGACTACTACCACGACCACCACTACGACTACGATTGCGACTACTACTAATACTACTACGGCCACTACCACTACTACTACTACTACTACTACTGCTACTACTACTACTACTACTACTACTACTACTACTACTACTACTACTACTACTGCTACTACTACTACTATTACTACTAGTACTACTACTACTACTGCTACTACTACTACTATTACTACTAGTACTACTACTACTACTACTACTACTACTGGTACGAGTAGGCACAACGGCGCGTTCCAATATAATCCCTTTGTGGTGCGCTCCAAAAGATTTATTTTGTGAGGCTTCCCAATAGAATTCCTTTGTGATGCTTTCCAAAGGATTCCGTTTGTGCGGCTTTTCAATCAATTTGTGGTGCTTTCCAACGGATTCCTTTTGTGAGGCTTCCAATCGAATTCTTGTGTGATGCCTTCCGAAGGATTCCTTATGTGCGGCTTTCCAATAGAATCAAGTTGTGGCCCTTCCCAAAGGATTCCTTTTGTGATGTATTCCAATAGAATTACTTTGCGCGGCTTTCCAATAGAATCCGTGTGTGGTGTTTTCCAAAGGATTCTTTTTGTTAGGCTTTCCAATAGAATTCCTGTGTGCGGCTTTCCAATAGAAACCCTTTGTGGTGCTTTCCAAAGGATTCCTTTTGTTAGGCTTTCCAATCGAATTCCTGTGTGATGCTTTCCGAAGGATTCCTTTTGTGCGGCTTTCCAATATAATACATTTGTGGCGCTTCCCAAAGGATTCCTTGTGTGATGTTTTCCAATAGAATTACTTTGCGCGGCTTTCCAATATAATCCATATGTGGTGATTTCCAAATGATTTTTTTTTTTTTTTTTTTTTTTTGTTTTCTGAGGCTTTCCAATAGAATTCCTTTGTGATGCTTTCCATCGGATTCCTGCTGTGAGGCTTTCCAATAGAATCCTTTTGTGTGCTTTCCAAAGGATTCCTGCTGTGAGGCTTTCCAGTAGAATCCTTTTGTGGTGCTTTCCAAAGGATTCCTGCTGTGAGGCTTTCCAATAGAATCTCTTTGCTGCGCTTTCCAAAGGATTCCTGCTGTGAGGCTTTCCAGTGGATCCCTCTGTGATGCTTTCCAAAGGATTCCTTTTGTGAGGCTTTCCAATCGAATCCCTTTGAGGAGGAGGAGGAGGAGGAGGAGGAGGAGGAGGAGGAGGAGGATATATATATAGAGAGAGAGAGAGAGAACGAAGAAAGTGGATGGGGGGTGAAGAGATGTGGGGGGACGGGAGAACATGTATGATCAGAACCCACCAAAAGGTAGGTATTGAGGTGGGGCGACCTTATCATTAGCATTAGCGTTAGCGTTCGCATTCGCATTCGCATTAGCACGAGCAATGGCATTATCATCAGCATTAGCCTTGGTATTCGCATTCGCATTAGCATTCGCGGTAGCATTCTCACTCGCATTAGCATTAGCATTAGCAGTCGCCGTAGCATTAGTATTATCAGTGGCATTTGCAGTAGCATTGGCATTATCATTAGCATCCGCATTAGCATCAGCATTAGCATTGGCATTGGCAGTAGCATTGGCATTA